ATATGTTGGTGAAACGGGTAGACCGCTCTGCGTCCGCATAAAAGAACACCTAGTCGGTAAATCTAAACTAAAACACAATACTCCACTAGGCGCGCATAGGATGCAAGAACACAACGGAGAAGATTTTGAGGTAGGAGTCACTATCCTTACGCAGGAATCGAAAACATCAGCGCGAAAAACTCTTGAAGCGTTTTGGATCAATGCCAAAAGTTCAAAAATGAACCGCAAGGAGGAGTGTCTTGTCATCACGCGTGACCTAGCGCCATACCTCAGGCTGATCCAATGATCTGACATGGACCCAGTTATCGACCATGTATTACTCTGTGCGGCGGCTATCCACCAACTAACTTAAATACTTACAACAAATAAACGGTAGGTGTTTGAATGAAGCTGTTTCTTATGCGAATACAAATCGATTTATCAAGTTTTATCTGCTAGGGTTATGAAAGTGTTTGGCTGAGTAGATCGCATCTCAATTTGACCTTTCCAGGCTCTGAAGAAGGCGAAACCGCCGAAACGTCAGCAATTGTGTTCTAATAAATTCTATATTAACAACCTCGTGTCTGCTTATTGATGAAAAACATTGAATTGTGTACTACCTTTTTCAGCCTGTTACACTTCAATGCGGCCACTCATTGTGTGCAAAGTGCTGCGCTACATTGCTGGAATCTTGTGACTCAAGTACTATTCCTCGACGGTCAAGAATTCGTATGGGACTGAGCAGTGTCAGCTATCCGCGACTTGAAAGAAAGCACACCTCCTTGTTGGTGGTGTTTTTCATCTGATATTGACTTCTACTTTCAGTTCTTATGATATCACGTACTCCAAAAGTGTGCAAAGACCTCGAGAAATGACGGATGTGAACGGTGTAGCCATCAAGGTTACATTCATTTACACGAGTTTTGACGAAACCACCAAATTTTATTAGGTTCCAACGAACAATTATTTGTCAGTTGAAATTATTTTTCGAGCTTTGAAGGTCTTCTATTCGCTCTGATGGTGTCACTTACAAGTCTCCACAATGCATCGTATGTGGAGAACGTCCTAAAACGGTTTGTAGAACTGATTCACTTCTTTCCATTTCATTTTTACACAGTAATATGACATGTGTTAGTATGGGAAATTCAGACACCGCCGATTCCAAATCTAGAACTCGCCATATTCCTGCGTTCGTTGAATGTAGACAAAATGACCGAACATGATAACCCCGCCTATAGAGAGAACATATATGATGACAGGTTGTTCTTTTTTCCACGTTTGTCTAATCGTCGTCGCTTGATTTTTAAAAAATAACCTTTCCATATTAATAATTCGGTAGTTTCATGAATATTCCAGCTTTTGTTATGACGATGACAACTGCAAGCGTATAAGGGAATGTAGGATTGGTGTAATGGGTGCGTCAGGCGTGGGAAAGACAAGCTTGGTGAGTGTTATACTGTCTTGATTCTCAACACAAACATGCCTCAGATTCACATGACGGAGTTTTCACCTTAATTCGGGTGTTTATAATTTTTCTTTTTTGTAATGTTTGTAATTTTTTTTCAAGTGCTTGACTGGTTTAGTGGTTTTGTAAAGAATATGTTAATATTGTTTCAGATTCGTGTACAATATGGGAATGATGTCCTCTTCAGTGACCTTCTTGGAAATTCCGCAGAAGCTTGTTTGAGCAACACCTTCATGATTGATATTATAGATCCCAGTGTTCGTTCAGGATCACTAGTGTTCAGTCATAACTTTAGAGAGACGGTATTGTTAAAAAGAAGTAACTGAAAGAGGCTTTTAAGAACTGTGAAGACTGCATTCAAACGTCGCAGGGTTTCGTTATTATGTATTCCATCACTGATCGTCAATCGTTTTACGAGGCTGCCGACATTTTTACAGTGATCGAGGAAGCGAGAGCAGGAAAGGTGAGTTTTATAATGCCTCGAACTTTCTTGGTCTGTTTTTATAATGCTTATTTACTTGGATACTTAGTTTGCCCATCCTCACTAGTTGTGCTGGTCTCAGGAAAATTTCCACATTATGGAGTTTTGCTGGTTTAGCCACTGTGGTTCCCTGGAGTCCCGAGGTCAGCCAGACCACGCCTTACCCAGGTCGTCACCACCAAAGACAGTCACCGCCCTAGTGGATTAGAGGGAGATTTGCCACCATGCCACTAGTCTGGTACCAGGACGGTCGTGGATCCTGGTATTGGTTTACTCCTAGCTCCTCTTCCTGATGGAAACGCCAGACTTCTCAGCCTGAGAGGCCCTGCAGGTTGGATGAATGTTCCCGCTGTGCATCGCAGCATGACACCCAGGAACACCTCCCAGCCACGATGAGGCGGTAAACTGTTGGGAAGTCTTTGTAGTATGTACTTAGTAAACATGCAGTGGCTCCAATACTTCCAATTATTTTGTTTACAAAGCTATGTTCTTGTCTACATAACGCCTAAGTAGTTGCATGCGTCAAATTATAGTTTTGGGCAAGAAGGTCATGTAACAATGTCACTCGACGAATTGCACGTTTAGATCCCAATCGTACTTGTTGGATCGAAGTCGGATTTGTATAGAAAACGTCGGGTCTCTGCGTACGAAGGACAAATTCTTGCAAGGCACATTGGTTGCCCTTTCCTTGAGATCTCGGCCAAAACTAATGACTGTGTCAATGAGGTTGGCAAAAGGAAAACTGGTTGCTTTTATTATGTAAAACTCTTTATTTGGTTACAGTAACTTTCTTGAGCTCCTTTCAAAGTGTTCATTTATTACAGGCTTTCTTGGAACTTATGCGACTAGTTGAGAAGAGACGGTTAACTTTATCTTAACGGTTTTCCACTATGATATTGGTTAATACTGGAAAAACTACTATGGAGTTACGCTTTCTTACATGAGAACGCTTTTGCACACCACAGTGCTTGCTCGTTAAAAATAATAAGAATAATGGTAATAACTCAAAAGACCTACTTGCTATAAAACTCGGCATAAATAATCGATACATTTATTTATACGTTCTTACGAACTGCTCTTCTTGGATTGGTGCTGGGTTGGTACGGGTTGTCGTCGTTGTTGCTATTGTTGGTGTTGGTTGAATTGGACGTTTCGTCTTCAGAGCTGTGCTGTTACAAGTAGGCACACTGTGCTACCATCGCCAGAACACACTGTAGCTCCACAGTGTTGATAAAGAGCCTTGAAGTTTTCGAACCTTTTGCTTAATTTCTTCTCTATTTCTGGATGGAGTCGCACTCTCAGCAACACGGCTCTGGAGAAGGCGAAATCGCGGAAACATCGGCCAGCGACCAACAGCAACAACAACAACAACGACAACTTGTACCAATTTCGCATTAGCTCAACAAGACCAATTCATAAGAACATATAATTAAATGATAACAATTATAATTATAATAATAGTAGTGATAATAACACAAGTTTACCAAGTTGGATCATATCTTCATTTGTAATTATATGCGGTTATTATCGCTTACATCGTAATGTCGTGATATTATCATAATAATTTCATGTAGTACCTGTGAATACTGGAAAATGTTATGGAAAAATGGAGAGAAATAAAGATGTGAATAGCATATTTGGTGTATATGCAAGTCATTATTTCATACAGTTATAGCTGAAGAAGTCCATCTGATTATCACCCATCGGTAGATGTCATTTTCTTAGTGATAGTTCTGCATCTCTTATTTTAAGTGCTCTGGGTTGTGGTTTGCTATCGTCCTTTCTGCGGATTGTTACAAGAAGCGTTCACGGACGTTACGTTTTTTAGCAAAGCTTAGAAAAAATGGTATTTTTTCACAAAACATAATTGGTTGGCGGTGAGCTTTTTTTTTGGTTACATCCTGTCCACTTCGCATATATCTTACTGAACTATAGCGCTTTGTCTTATACTCTGTTCAGTTGAACGTCTTTGGGACGATTAAATTCTACATCATCGTAGAATGTGATCATTTTCATTGATGCAGGCTTAATCCAGGAGTAATCAAGTAGTAACGATAACACTATCAGTAACAATTACTAGAATCTACCACTTTCGTGGTATCAAATTAGTCGCATTGTGGCAAATATCTGATCCACAAGGGCGGGAATTGCCTGTGGTAATGACGACCTTTGGCAGACAATGGTTAGGCTGACATCGGCGCTCCAGGGAACCACAACGGCTTAACTAACAAATCTCCGAGAAATGGAGGTTATGCTGGGGCCCGCACCACCAGTGACAGCGTGCCGTCCAAGTATCCAAGTATGTAATTAACCAAGTATGGATCGTCAATGGAAAAAACGTACTGAAAACATACTAAAAGCAATAAACTTTGCTTCTAGAAGACGAATGCAAATGGCGTAAAGTTTGTTACGGTGGGCTCGAAGATTTTAATTCCGCGTTAATGAGAGCAAGTGGGATGAAGAATTGGGTACACGGTTACATTGCTTACGAAATTTGGCCAAATGTCCTTGGCCAGTAATGTGCTCCTTTTAAAGACGACTTCAAAGATGTGGGAATCACATTACGGGATCAGCTTTTCTCTGTTTCACTCAAACTAGCCTCTATTCCTTATAACGAGTTTTCATTTCGTTTCAAAATTCACTACGTCATTTACGTTTCATTTAATCATTGTGAGACTTGACAAGGTGCCAATGAACTATCCACTCATCTTTGTCGTAAATCAGTGATACTTAGTAGATTCTGCTCCGACGAATTCTGTGCGCTAGGCTCACCAAGCCTTCTTTCTCTCCGGTATCAGCAAATTGGTACCAGACTTGTCCGGGAAAATAGCAGCGCTGGCCCACTGCGAATCACTGTGTAGCCCAGATATGCATCCAATCACCTCTAGTAATGCTTAATGAAGTCAAATGCAGAGTCTCCCCCTCAGAGATTGATCAACACCGAGAGCTTTATTCTTATTTTTTTAAAAATATTTTGCCAAGATGAAGTGCGTCATACTAGTGTGCCTTATTTTATGGTTTTCTTTTTGCTGAAGGTAGTAAGTACCGTTGGCTTGCTTTTAAAGGCTAAGGGATAAGTCTTTCTACTTATCAATCCTTGAGGGGTGTGTCACGCATTGGACTTCATAAATCATCGTTAGAGGTGATTGAATACAAGTCCGGCCAATTATATTCGCAGACAAGTCTGGTTCTAATCCGCCAACACCGGAGGTATGGGAAAGTAGGTGACCCTGGATCGCGGTGTCGAACCAAAGGGCGCGTTTTTTTTTATTGAGATGTACCTCTAATCACTACGCTAGATGCAACCCTTTATTTAGTAATACGAAATGAAATCTGTAGAACAGGTAGCAAAACTTCTTCACAGATAGGGCGAATTGAGCATCGCATTTCTAAAGCGAAGCCAATTGGCCGCAGAGCGTCAGAGCGCCAGCGAACTTTGTAGGACTGATGCTCTTTAATTTCATTATATCATTAAAGGTAGGGGTGGATAGCACAGTGGTAGTGATGTCTGTCATCACGACCATAGTGATTGTTCGATTCCGCTCCGGTCCTACCAAGCCTCTCATCCCTTCGGTGTCGGGTAGTTGGAACCGGACTTGTTTGGGAAAAAATCGCTTTCTGTGATTCAATTGGGAGCGTTGCAGACCGACTATCTCAGGGCTCCAGGAGAATCGCTCGACCAGGAAATCTTTCTGACATTCAAGATGAAATGAAAATCGTCAAGCAGCAGCTGAAGCAACACGTAAAGTAGGAAGATCTTCGTAGACAATGGATGCGAGGAAAGGAATCGAATGTGAGAAGTTCTGAGATCCTCATAATAGACGTGAGGATGTGTCATATAAAATAAGAAAAATTTATCATTAAAAGCAGAATAGTTCTGCATACCCAATAAACCACTATTCAGCCTTCTTTATTCCATACTGACTGTATCCTTAGTTAAAAAGCAATTGCTTTTGGTAAGAAGCCGCCCAATCCTATTAAATAGACTATAACAGGTTTTAGAAAGACGGATTTCGCTGGGAGGAAGTGAAATTGAATCGACCGCTTTGCCAGATATTCTAAATTATGTATGTGCCGTTATGTAACTTCGTCAAACCTTTTTTCATGTAGCTAAGACGCTAATATGGCTGGCAAATGTTGTAAATCTAATACTTTCTCACAGAAAGAAAATGAAAGTATTTACATGTACGGAGAATTTAGTTTTATTTCATTTCAGCAGAGTTTGCTGAGCTGTGGTAAGACGGATACGGTAGAATAGATGCCCACCCTAGTAAACCCTTTGTGAGAAGTAGACCTCTGTTTCATTAATTGTGCCTTAATAAATCGTACTGTATTAAATCAAAATTTCGAATACGTGTGCTTGAGTACCGGAGTATATTCAGGGTTAAGAGATTTGGCTACGTAACCCTCCTAAGAATACCATTTCTTACACCAGTTCAGGGCATTGATAGGTAGTAGAACGAAGCTCAAAAAGAATATCACACACAAATTTTATCGTTTCCTATCCTGATGTTCGAATTTCGTCCGATTCTGTATTCCAATTTCAAATAACTTGGGAGCGGAAACCATTTGAGAAAAATATGTCTCAATTAGGTGCGCATAGCACAACGATTAGAATTACTCCACTGTACACACGTGGTCTCTGGTTCGATCCATCATCATCAGGCCAATCAAGGTCCCCATTAGTCTGTGGTCAGCGAATTGCAACCGGCTTTGTCTAGGTTAATGAAAAACACTAACTTGATACTGCGGTAAGCTCCCACAAATCACCTCATTGTCCAATTTGAGGTTTATCATCTACATGATGTTTACTGGAGTTGAATATATAGAGTATTCCCCATTGATTAATATCAAACGCTTTACTCTTCTACTCCTTAATTCGAAAGTGCGTGGGTGGTAACGAAGGGTCGTTCTTTCGCCCAATAGGGACTTTTTCGTCAAAGGGTATTGCAATACCGCTTTTATTGAGTAAGCGATTGATTAATAAAGACTTTAGGGAGCGCTTGCGAAAAGTTGGAAGACCTTCGTGAATGATGAATTCGAAGAAACGAATCAAACGCAGAAAGCGCAGGGATCCGTACAATAGACGTGAAAACAGGTCGTCTAAAAGAAACCAAAAGCTCCTTATTCTCAATAACGACCTTCCACTAACCTCGGCATTGATGAATAACTTGCTATGTTCATGATTGCCACACACAAGGTTGTTACCATACACTATTTATTCATTCATTTATTCATTTATTCATATTCCAATGCCGAGGTTAAGAGAAAGTCGATCCTGGGAACTATACACTATTTATTTGCAACAAGTCAAGTTTCCACGGATTTCATCTTCTTCAGAGCCTAGAAAGTCAAGTTCGCTGCAATCTATTCAGCCATAGACTTTCATAGGCAAACAGAAAAGATACGAAACCAAGATTTCAATCACATTGAACACAGAATAGCTTCTCACACTCACCGTTCTCCATGATTTTTCCAATTAGTGTGTCACGTGGAGACCAACCGCACAGAGTTCACATGGAAGCGTAGTGCGCCTGTCTCCCATTAAAATATCAGTCTTAAAGACTGGGGTAGATCTCCCGTAATTATGAGGCATTCCTCCCTGTAGTTCATTTGGCTTTTGGTTATGAAGATCCTTGGCTGGGTAGCCAGCAGTCAAGTTGACACTTCTAGGTTCTGAAGAAGGCGAAATCTACCGGAAGGTCAGCTATTATGGATAAATAATAAACAACTACAACCTCGTGTGTGCTCCATTAAGGAAGTGGCTCCTTATTTGGATAACCACGAAACGCAAATTAGTCGATTTTAACGGAATCAGCCGTTTACATGACTAGTGATGTGAATACAGCAAGAGATTGAAGCATTGAAGACTTGTGCT